ACCCACCCCCCCAGCCCGGCCTGGGCGACAGCCTGGAGGGCATCCCCAGCCTGAGCCAATCCCCGGAGCCTGTGCGCCGGGGAGACCCTGACACTGCCCCGCAGGCCGAGCGCACCCCGGAGGACCTGGGGCTCCCGCTGGACCAGCTGGACTGGGTGGGCCGGGGAGCGGGGTCCGGGGAGGACTCTGCCACCAGTAGCTCCACGCCCTTGGAAGACGAGGAGCCCGACGGATCGGAGGCCAGAGAGGCTGGGAAAGGTGAGATGTCCCCACGTGCTGGGACCAGTCACCAGGGGCGGGTAGTTAGTCTCTTCCCAGGGGACCACCTAGGTGAGAGCTCATGGCCTTCTCTCTCTCTAACGCGCCAGAATTGGACCTACAACTCGAATTCGCTCAGTCCTCGCCGCCCGGAGCCTTGACTCCACCATCCAGCCCTGGCTCTGGGACCCCCCAGGCCCGGACCCCGTCCCCGCCCGGATCCCGGGATTCGAACTCATGGCCCGCTGAGCCCTCGCTGGACGAGAAAGAGGAAGAGCCTAGGAGGCAGCTGAACCGGGAACCAATCACGGGGCAGTGCCTTGTTAGCACGGACCAATCAGAATCCACACTGGAACTACACCTTCTAGGTAAACTGCTTGGAGGAAGATGCTCCTTCGGATCACAGCGGGGGTGGGAGGGTTGCAGTTTGAAGGGACAGACTTCGCGAAGGAATGGAGAGTGGAGAAGGGAGGAGGCGGGACATATGAATTCCGCCCTGTAAGTGCCCGTTATCTAAGACTGCCATCGGCTCTTTTTTTCTTTTTCTTTTCTTTTCTTATCTTTTCTTTTTTTTTTTTTGCCATCGGCTCTTTTTATATAGATTTCCACTGGGAGGTTAGCCCTTTTTCCGAGCATTAGGATTGGCTGATTGCTAAAAAGTTAAAAATGAACAAATCCCTCTTTTGAAGGGCTCCCCCTAGAGGCTGATTGTGGACAGGCCAAACCCCAGAAAAAAACAAAGCTCTCCTCTGGATGCGGCTGTGGGACGGTTATAAGTAAGCTCTGTGCCTTTCAAAAACTCCTCTCCCCTGACCACATCCGCCAGCCAGTGGCCAGCAGACGCTGCGTTACTTTATGCTCAGCCTCCCCGAACCGCCCGGGGCTGGCTGCTTACAGACACCCCGGCTGGGGGCTGTTTACCAAGAGAACCACCCCTTTTGGGAACTGTCCCACCTCCGTGGAGAGCCATTGGCTGGGCGCGAAGGGGCCCCGCCCCCCCTGCTCCCTCCCTCTGGGTCCCCTGAAGCGGGCAAAAGCCCCGAGAAGCGGTGGAGTCCGCAGCCTTTCCCGCGGAGCGGAGATGGGGAGTAAAGGTGGGCCTGCGGGGCGGGCTGGGGTCGGGGCTGGGGGGCGGCGGAAAGGGATCCAGATTCGCTACCGCCCTCACGTCTAGGAGGATGCTTCCTATTGGTCCCAAATTCCCCAGAACTGCAGGCTGAGGCTGGGGGTGGTTTGGGGGTGTCGAGGGAGAGCGTGGAGGGAGCGTGGGGTGCCCTCTCCCCCAAGACAGGGCTTTGGAGTCTAAGAGCAGGAAGGCACCCTCCCCCAGCCTCAGGCCCAGGCGGCGCTGTCACTCAGGAGCAGGATGGGCCAGCACAGCTGCAGGCGAGGCCCCCTCCCCCCCGCGAGCCTAAACTTAGCCCCCGCCTCGGGCGACCCGGCCCCTCCCCCACCCGCTGGCGCGGGCCCCGGGGAGCCTGCAGGGGAGGCCCCGGCGCCTGGGGGTGGGGGGTGGCCTGCCCTAGTTAAAGGTAGATGGGAGGGTGTGTACAGGGAGGGTGCGAAGGGGGGTCAGACTCCGAGAAGAACCTTCGGGATGGATCAGGGTTTGATTGGAGTGAGGGCGAGCTGGTGAAGAAAGAAGTGGAAGGGTCTGGGCTCCTGGTTAGCGGATTATGGGGAGGCTGATACAGTGTACGTATATGGGTGAGATGAAACACAGGTTCTGGAGGTTTGGTTTTTTTTTTTTTTTAATTTTAAAAATATATTTCTTTATTGATTTCAGAGAGGAAGGGAGAGGGAGAGAGAGATAGAAACATCTATGATGAAAGAGAATCATTGATCAGCTGCCTCCTGCATGCCCCCCACTGGGAATCGAACCCTGGACCCTTCAGCCCGCAGGCCGAGGCTCTATCCACTGAGCCAAACCGACTAGGGCTGGTCTGGAGATTATTGATAGGACTTGGAGGTCAGTCTCAGAAAGAAGTCAGAAATGTGCTGGGATGCTTAGGAAGGAGGGTGGGTTATTAATACATTTAGGACTTAGAAAAATGTGCTGGTAGGGATATCAAGGAGCTATCACTTCACACTATCAGGCTGCCCCAAAATATAAAGAACAGTAACACCCACTGCTGGGCAGGATGCTGGGAAAAGATCACCGTCGCTTTGCTCATGGAGATGAGACTTGTTACAGTCTTGCTAGTAAGCCATCTGGGAGTATTTATGACATCCACCCAGCCGTCCCACCTTGGGATTCTCTCTCAGAGAGAAGAGCCCTGACTGGTTTGGCTCAGTGGATAGAGCATCAAGCTGCGGACTGAAGGGTCCCAGGTTCGATTCCGGTCAAGAGCATGTACCTTGGTTGCGGGCACATCATCAGTAGAGGGTGTGCAGGAGGCAGCTGATCGATGTTGTTTCTCTCTCATCGGCGTTTCTAACTCTATCCCTCTCCCTTCCTCTCTGTAAAAAAAGAAAAGAGAAAGAGAGAAGAATATCGTAGAAGGCTGGTGCTTGCAGTACTGTTATGGAAAGGAGGGGAGGGAACAGTGAATGGTCCATCAATAGATACGTGATCGAATAAAATGAATGGCAGTGAAGCTACACTTCAGAGTATCGTGGCACTCTTAATGAAAAAGAATGAATTAAGAGCTATTCCAGTTGACTAGCAGGGAATTCTAGGAGGGAAGATAGATCCAGAGATGTGTGATGCAGAAATGTGTGTATATACGATTCCATTTTTCATACATAATGACCAAAAGTTGGGTCCACACATCATCTATGCTTGGAGGAAGATAAAGAGACTTGCTAGATGGTTAACTTGGGTTTTCCAAGAAGGGGAGAGGGGAGGTGATCTGGAATAAAAGCAGACACTAAAACGTTGGAAATTGGGTTAAGGCTGACACGGCTGTGTCAAGGGGTCATGGTTCAGCCCTGAGACAGGAGGTGGGAGGTCAAGAGGTCAGCCAGGCCAGGCCCAAACCCCGGCCTGATTGCTCCCCTCCTTCACAGTGGCGGACTTGCTGTACTGGAAGGACACGAAGACATCAGGCGTGGTCTTCACAGGCCTCATGGTCTCCCTGTTGTGCCTCCTGCACTTTAGCATCGTGTCCGTGGCCGCCCATGTGGCCCTGTTGCTGCTCTGTGGCACCATCTCTCTCAGGGTTTACCGAAAAGTGCTGCAGGCCGTGCACCGGGGGGACGGTGCCAACCCCTTCCAGTGAGAACCCCCAGCCCTGACCCTGACTCTCCAGACCCCAGTGCTGACCCTAAGTCATGACCGATGACCTCAGTTCAGGCACCAAGTTCTCACCCTGGTCCTGACCCATCCTACTCCTCTTTCTGACTCCAACCTGGCCCTGCCCCTGACTAAACCATGCTCTGACGTGTCAATTGCAGCCCTAAACTGTAATCCTAATCTCTTAGCCTTAATCCTTGATCCCATCTCCTGACCCCGACCTTGACCTTAGCCCTCTACACCTGGCTTTCCTCCAAACCCCATTTTTTGCCCTTGTCCCAGCACCTCTCAGCCTGAGCCCCACCCACCCATTGAGTCACCTCACACCCCTTTGTCCTCTCAGGGCCTATCTGGACGTGGACCTGACCCTGACTCGGGAGCAGATAGAACGTTTGTCCCAGCAGATTGCCTCCAAAGTGGTCTCTGCGGCCACCCAGCTGCGGCATTTCTTCCTGGTAGAAGACCTCGTGGACTCCCTCAAGGTGCCCCAAAGCCCCCCTTCTCTCCTGGGTTCCCCACCATTCGCCTTCCTTCCCCTGGGGGGTAAGAGGGCCATTTCTGGGTAAGTTCAGAGCCTGGGGAGGAGTGCCTTATAAGCTCTGCTGACCCTGACCCTCACCCCCAGCTCGCCCTTCTCTTCTACATCTTGACCTTCGTGGGTGCCGTCTTCAATGGTTTGACTCTTCTCATTCTGGGTGAGCTGGGAAGGCTGTGGGGGGCTGGGTGAGGAGGTGGGTCATTGAGGGGAACAGGGACCTAGATGGAATTGTTAATCTCTTGTGAGAACCCTGACCCCCCGTCTCTGTGCCCACAGGAGTGATTGGTGTATTCACCGTCCCCCTGCTGTACCGACAGCATCAGGTGAGTGTGACAGGCCCTCCTTCAGGCCCTCGGTTGGCGGTATCCCAGCCAAGTATGGGTGGTCTGGCTGCCCGCACCCCCACCCCCACCCCGCTACAGTCAGGGTCCATTGACAGATGTCCCAACCAGAGACAAGAGGACCAACTGGTATTTCTGCCCCTGAAAGGATCAGAGCCTGACTGATATAGGTCCCAGCCAGGCACAGGTGCTCTGGCTGCTGCCCTCAATGGAGCTAGAGTCTCACCCAGTGATGGCGAACCTTTTTGAGCTCGGCGTCAGCGTTTTGAAAAACCCCAACTTAACTCTGGTGCCGTGTCACATATAGAAAATTTTTGATATTTGCAACCATAGTAAAACAAAGACTTATATTTTTGATATTTATTTTATATATTTAAATGCCATTTAACAAAGAAAAATCAACCAAAAAAACGAGTTCGCGTGTCACCTCTGACACGTGTGTCATAGGCACACCATCACTGGACTAACCAATATATTTAAGCAGCCAGAGACAGGCGTTTTGATTGGTGTCCCCTGACAGAGCCAGGATTTGACTGACATGCCCAGCCCAAGGCAGGGGGACTAACTGATGCTCCTCGCTGACGGTGCGCCCGAGGTCTGACTGGCAAGTCCTCGCTGCAGTATGGGTGGTCTGGCTGCCCGCACCCCCACCCCCACCCCGCTACAGTCAGGGTCCATTGACAGATGTCCCAACCAGAGACAAGAGGACCAACTGGTATTTCTGCCCCTGAAAGGATCAGAGCCTGACTGATATAGGTCCCAGCCAGGCACAGGTGCTCTGGCTGCTGCCCTCAATGGAGCTAGAGTCTCACCCAGTGATGGCGAACCTTTTGAGCTCGGCGTGTCAGCGTTTTGAAAAACCCCAACTTAACTCTGGTGCCGTGTCACATATAGAAAATTTTTGATATTTGCAACCATAGTAAAACAAAGACTTATATTTTTGATATTTATTTTATATATTTAAATGCCATTTAACAAAGAAAAATCAACCAAAAAAACGAGTTCGCGTGTCACCTCTGACACGTGTGTCATAGGCACACCATCACTGGACTAACCAATATATTTAAGCAGCCAGAGACAGGCGTTTTGATTGGAGTCCCCTGACAGAGCCAGGATTTGACTGACATGCCCAGCCCAAGGCAGGGGGACTAACTGATGCTCCTCGCTGACGGTGCGCCCGAGGTCTGACTGGCAAGTCCTCGCTGCAGAGAGGCCGTCTAACTGATGTCTTCTTTCCCTGCCACAGCCTCACACGGAACAACACTCATCCTAGCCAGAAACAGGCAGACGGATTAATGCCTTCTCCCCGTGACACCACCAGAGACTGACAAACACATACCCAGCTGCAGACAGACAGACAAACCGATGCCGTCTATCCTTACACGTACTCTGGGTCTGATGGTCTCCATCCCAGGCAACACAGGTGGACCGATTGATGCCCTCACTCCCCAAAGTGGCCAGGGACTGACGTCTCCGGCAGAATGGGTGGCTGACTTCTGCCCAGAATGCTGCTGACAGAACCAAGGCCAACTGACATGTATCCTATCCAGAGACAGACAGAGGGACTGACATTCCCTTCTCCAGCACAGCTGAGAGTCAAATTACGCATGTCCCTGCCCGAGACAGGCCTAACTTCTTCACATGCTGGGATCATCCAGACCTCAAAGTCAACCGACACTACGGATTAAATGAGTATTTAAATCAATGATAGCTAACACTAATGCCTCTACTTTCACTCTATCCCTAAACACACACACACACACATACACATACACACACGCACACACACACACACCCCTCACTCAAAGATTAACAGGAGGAAGGGAGAAACAGACTCACTGTCAAATTCTCTAGTCTACCTGACATCACGCCCCACACAGTGTGGCCCAATCGACTGACACTTCAACTTGAACTTCTGTCTTTCAGGGCATTTTCTCAAGTTGTTTATTTTTAAAATACATTGTATTGATTTTTTACAGAGAGGAAGGGAGAGGGATAGAGAGTTAGAAACATCAATGTGAGAGAAACATCGATCAGCTGCCTCCTGTACACTCCCCACTGGGGATGTGCCCACAACCGAGGTACATGCCCTTGACCGGAATCGAACCTGGGACCCTTCAGTCCGCAGGCCGATGCTGAGCCAAACCGGTTAGGGCACAAGTTTAAAGTTGAAAGTGGAGTCATCCCCCCCCAAATCCTGACTTGGAATGTGGGGGAGAACGCAGCCTCCTGCATAAATTAGGAAGAGGAACCCCCCTCTAATCTCTCCTTTGATCCTTTCTTGGTCTCCCCAGGCCCAGATCGACCAGTATGTGGGATTGGTGACCAATCAGTTGAGCCACATCAAAGCTAAGTAAGGGCATGGGATGGAGAGGGGTGAGATGGGGCAGAGGGGATGTGAGAACTCCCCATTCCCTGTCCCTAAATCTCCTGGGGCTGAATGCCCCCTTCTCAAAGTAGGGTGCCGGACAACTCCAACGCAAGCCATTAGCTGGAGGGCAGGGCTTGCTTTGGGGACTCAGCTAGTCCCCCAACCAGCTTTCCCTTTAGTTCTCAGAATTGATCATTCTTCATTCTCAGCAGCGTCGTGCCCCACGTGACTCTACCTGTTTCTCCCTCAGGATCCGAGCTAAGATCCCAGGGACCGGAGCCCTTGCCTCGGCAGCAGCCTCAGTCTCCGGATCCAAAGCCAAAGCCGAATGAAAAGGGCATCTCTGTCCGCGGGACGCCTGCCCCCACCACCTGCAGCCCCCTGTCCCCCTCGGTCTCCCCCCATTCATCCCCACCCTCTTCCCTTCTCAGCCCCAGCCATATCCGGGTGGGTATCTGGATCACTCACACCAGGCGCCAATTGCCTGAGCGGCCAGGACTACATTTCCCAAGAGGCTCTGCTCTAGGAGTCCAGGAAAAGCGAGGCACCTTGGCCCAGGTCCTGCTGGTACTTGTAGTTGTCTAGCTAGGGCACCCGCCCTGCACTTACCCCGCCGCTGGAGGCGCCGGGAGGGCTTGGTGTCTTCTGGACGCTACTGGGCCCACGCCAGGGCTTTGCATGGGGCCCAGGGGAGGCCTGAGCTTGGATTGACACCGTAATAAAGACTTCTGTGGAAACCCAAGCCTTCCTGTTCTTCAAGCCCCCTCCCGCTTTCACCTTCCTTCACGACAAAGTACTTCAGTGCCTTAGCCGGTTTGGCTCAGTGAGCAGAGCGTGGGCCTGCGGACTGAAGGGTCCCGGGTTCGATTCTGGCCAAGGGCACATGCCTGGGTTTCGGGCTCGATCCCCAGTGTGGGGCGTGCCAGGAGGCAGCCGATCAATGATTCTCTCTCATCATTGATGTTTCTATTTCTCTCTCCCTCTCCCTTCCTCTCTGAAATCAATAAAAAAATATATATATATTTTTAAAAAGTAGGTAAGCGACACTCAAGGAGGAACCTTCTCCATCGCTGCAGAAGAAGCCCCCTGGACCATCTGTTTAGATGATGACATGATTGAGGGGAGGAGGCTGAGAGATGGATTGCCCATCCAAGGGCCAACCAATCCTTGGCAGCCACTTTCAATACCTGTGCCCACGGCAGCACCCCTAGCTGTTCCCCACACTCTACCTGCTGCACAGCCATCTCCTCTGAAATCCAGACACATGGCCACTGCCTTGTTTTTTTATAAAAAAAAATAGATTTGATTGATTTTTTTTTTTTTTTTTTTTTTTTACAGAGAGGAAGGGAGAGGGATAGAGAGTTAGAAACATCAGTGAGAGAGAAACATCGATCAGCTGCCTCCTGCACACTCCGCACTGGGAATATGCCTGCAACCAAGGTACATGCCCTTGACTGGAATCGAACCTGGGACCCTTCAGTCCACAGGCCGACACTCTCCACTGAGCCAAACCAGCCAGGGCGGCCACTGCGTTCTGAACAACTGCCCCGCAAACATATCCAACTCATCACTCCCCCCACCTGATTTCCTATAGGGATGTCCTCTCTGCCCACATTGTCACCAGGCCTGAGACCCGGATTTGGCCCTGGACTTCTACTCCCTCATCCCTCCATCGAATCGACCACGAAGCCATGTCTATTCTAGCTCCCAAACTTTTCTCATCCACCCACTTCACTCTGTTCCAATTGCCTGGGACCAAATACCAGGCCTCGTGGCCTCTATGGCCCTCAGGTCCCAAAACTGTAACCTGAGGAAGAGAAATGACACTGAAGTCTGAAGACTCACAGACCTGAACTTGAATTCCAGCTTCACTCCCCCTTGGCTGGGTGACCGTGAGCCAGTGACTTCACCTCTTGAAGCCTTGGTTTCCTCAAATGAAAAAGCGTCTCCATAACCATATCTACATGCAAAGCCCTTGTCACAGGGCCTGGCACATAATAAATGTCCATTAAACAGAAGCTGCTATTGTTATCTATGACATGATTTCCCAAACCTCAGTCCTTCCTTCAGAACCTTCATCTGTCACCTGTTCTGCTACTTACCTATATTTTTCTTCAAATTGGTTTATATATATAAAAAAAAAAGCCCTGGATGGGTTGATTGGAGTGTCCTCCCGTACAAAGAAAGATTGAGGGTTGATTCCCAGTCAGGACACATACCTGGGTTACCAGTTCTATCCCCAGTGGAGCATGTATAGGAGGCAAGGGGTCTCTCTCTCTCTCTCTCTCTCTCTCTCTCTCTCCCTCTCTCTCTCTCTCATCAATGAACAGATCCTTGGGTGAGAAATTATTTTTATTTTTTTAATATATATTTTTAAAATACGTTTTTATTACTTTATGGAGGGAGGGAAAGGGGTAGAAGATAGAAACATCAATGAGAGAGAAATGTCAATTGGCCCCCCACCAGGGATCAAGCCGGCAACCCTGCCGGGAATCCAACCGTGACCTCTTGGTTCCTCAATCCATGCTCAACCACTGAGCAACACAAGCTGGGCTTGGGGAGGATTAAAAAAAAAAAAAGACAAATGTCCTTTTAAAGGAAATGTTATTTCATCACTAAGGAAGTCAGTATCACTTGCCAGAAATAGACGATAACAGTAACAATAAACACAAAATTATTAACATTTAAAATGTTTGTTAGTAATAGAATAACAGATCTTGGGGGGGTGGCCTCCCTTCCGAATAATCAGAAGCTGCTTCATCACCTAGATCAGAGTGTCAACCTGTCACTCAGATCAAAAGGTCAATCTTGGCTCAAAAACTGTTGTATTTATTGATTAGCTTTAAAAATATATCCCAGTAGGGAGAGAGGGTGGGGGGAGGGGACAGGAAGAGATTAACCAAAGAACACATATGCAAAACTAGAGGCCTAGTGCACAAAATTCGTGCACTTGCGTGTGTGTGTGTGTGTGTGTGTGGTGGGGGGGAGAGGGGGGGTTCCTTAGCCCAGCCTGTGCCCTCTAGTAGTCCAGGAGTCCTCAGGGGATGTGCCACTGACAGCTTAGGCCTGCTGCCGCCACCCCCCCGCCCCCAGCTGCACTCACCAGCGTGAACCTGGTGGCTTCTGGCTGAGCTGAGCTCCCCCTGTGGGAGCACACTGACCACCAGGGGGCAGCTCCCGCATTGAGTGTCTGGCTCCTGGTGGACAGTGAGCACCATAGTAACCAGTGGTTCCACTGTTTGGTCAATTTGCATGTTACCCTTTTATTATATAGGATAGACACAGACACTATCTTGGGGAAATCCTGGGGTGGGGTAGCGGTTGGGTGGAGGGGGGGAAAAAGGAGAAAATGGGAGACATCTGTAATACTGTCAACAATTAAATAAAATGTCTAACCTAAAATCATTTCACTTGCCTCTAGCAACACATGTTACATTTTAGGAGACAGATGATGTCACAGGAGCAATAGTTATACATGGGTTGCCTCGCCATGACTATCAAACTAAAAGAAAGGGGTTTAGTGGAGGCGTTTCTCGAATCTGGATTTACTAAGCAGAGACAACTTTTTAAATTCCCAAATTTTAAAAATCAATAGCAAAATTTCATAAAGGTGCTTTTATTCACACTTTCTATAAGACAAAGTGTTAATTTGTCTGTATTAAAGAATGGAGGAAGAAGGACTGGTCAAAATTATGGGTCCAGGGCAGGCTGGAGGGGGTCAATGGGGGAAAAAGAGGGTCATATGTGATACTTTCAACAATAAATAATTTTAAAAGGAATGTTTATATAACAATTAAGTAAAGCGGGGGGAGGGGATAAATTATGGGTCCAGGAATGGCTGAAGTCCCAAGGCCATCCTTGGCACCCCCACTCTCCATCCCAGAGGAAGAACACAGGCTGGATACTGAAGCAGCCTGTACTGAGTGCCTCCTAGTTGCCTGGTCCTGTGCCATATATTTTTTTAAATCTCTTTATTGATTAAGGTATTACATATGTGTCCTTATCCCACCATAACCCCCTGTGCCATATTTTTATGTCTATCTGCTCATTACCATTCCTCCAGTAAAATCAGTTATACTGGTCTTGTTTTCCAGGTGGGGAAACTGAAGCTTAGGGAATCTACACTAATAAAAGAGAAACATGGTAATTGACCATATCTTAGTGATGCCCACCAGCCAATCAGGAGTGAGTGTGCAAATTAATCCAACAAAGATGGCTGGTTAATTTGCATGTGCAGGCGCTGAGCGGCCAGGGGTGGGGTGGGACGCAGGTGTTGTGCACTGCCCCAGCCACTCCGGGCCTCTAGGCAGCATGGGAAGGCGGTAAGGCGGCTCCGGGCCAGAGCGAGGAGCAAAGGCACTCTGCAGCCAGGGGAAAGAAGTCCCATTCTTTCACAAATCTTTGTGTATCAGGCCTCTAGTATAGTCAATAATGTTATATTAGCTATGTACAGTGTGTGGGGGTACTTGAAATATCGGGGAGA